AGCGGCCACTGCACTCCAGTCTGGGCGACAGAGTGAGACTCCAACTCAAAAAAAATAATTAAAATTAAAATAGAAAACTTAGAAGTAATTGAATTGCCCTGTATAGAAAACCAATCAAGGAACTAAATTGGCTTAATGGTGTAACAGTTCACTCCAGGGGAAACTTTTACTGATAAAAACCCTTTTGTGTGGTATGATTCTTATTAAAAATTTAGCTCTGTGCTGCTACCTGGGTTTTATGATCAAGCAGAGTCAGTGATACTGGAATTATCTGTTGCCAGTACTGATGCTATGTCCAGGCCTCCCACAAGCCCCAGTGGGACTATCGCCATGCAGAACTGTGGGGTTTTGGAGCAGATCCATGCCCTCTTTTGCAAATAAACACTGTCCGTTTGAGAAACTTGCCTTGCTATTGCAGAGATGAGACCCCTAGCTCATGGGACATCCAGTGACCACGTGGCCTGAGCTACCTACCACCGAATGGGTGTTTTACCCACTATGCCCATTAAGGGTGCTTAATATAGCCCAGAAATAGGTAGTGACTGTCTCAGACAGGGCTACCATGACTTGGCACTTCGTGTCTCATTTTGGAGAACGGGATCATCTTTGCTTATGACCAAGGGTAGTTGTACCTTGTTCCATGGAGGCGTAAAGTTGCTTACCGATGCATGAAAGTTCAAGTACGTGAAGAAGCCGCATGTATGTGGGAGCCCGAAGTCAAAGAGGCGGGCTGAGCTGGTCGCTGCACTGTCGTCTCTCAGGCCCAAACCCACCCTGTGAATCTGCTCTGGACTCCTGGGCCTGGGCCACTGCCAAGTGCATTTCTCCTTCCCCAGTTTGTCCCCTACAAGACAGACGGAGGGAGACTGCTAGGCGAGAGGGAAAAAAGGGACGTGCTCTTTCCTGCTTGTTTTCTTTTCAGTGAAACCACAGTGACGCTGCTGGGCTCTGGCAGTGATCGCAGTTCCAAGAGGAATGCTCACTCCGAGGCAGTTTCTCCATACTGTTAGAAGCTGAGCACCCTTGAGGTAGCAGCCCCCACTGGCTGGCCTTGCCTTCTCCGCAGGGTCCCTCCCCTCAGTCTGTCTCTCTCTTTTTTTTTTTTCTGAGTTGGAGTCTCACTCTGTCGCCCAGACTGGAGTGCAGTGGCTGCTCCCGGCCACAGCAGCCTCGACCTGCTGGGCTCCGGCGACCCTTCCGCCTCAGCCTTTCGAGTAGCTGTAACTACAGGCACGCGCTACCACACCCGGATGATTTTTTGATTTATTGTAGAGATGAGGTCTCGCCAAGTTGCCCAGGCGGGTCTCGAACCCGCAGGCTCAGGCCATCCACTCACCTCAGCCTCCCAAAGTGCGGGATTACAGGCTGAGCCACGAGTCCGGCTCAGTCTCTCTCTTTTTTTTTTTAGTTGGAGTCTCACTCTGTCGTCCAGACTGGAGTGCAGTGGCCGCTCCCGGCCACCACAGTCCCGACCTGCTGGGCTCTGGCGATCCTTCTGCCTCAGCCTTCCAAGTAGCTGGAACTACAGGTGCGCGCTACCGCGCCCGATTGATTTTTTTATTTATTGTAGAGATGAGGTCGCACTGCCCAGGCGGGTCTTGAACCCGCGGGCTCAGGCAATCCACTCACCTCAGCCTCCCAAAGGCGCGGGATTATAGGCTGAGCCACCGAGCCCGGCTAAATCTCTCTCTTTTTTAAGCCGGAGTCTGTCTCTGTCACTCAGGCCGGAGTGCAGTGGCATGATCACAGCTCACCACAGCCTCAACCTCCTGGGCTCAGGCAATCCTTTCACCCCAGCCTCCCGAGAAGCTGGGACTAGAGGTATGTGCCACAATGTTGGCTTTATTTTTTTTTTTTTGAGTCAGAGTCTCACTCCAACACCCAGGCTGGAGTGCAGAGGCACGTTCCGGGCCATCCCAGCCTTGACCTGCTGGGCTCTGGCGGTCCTTCCGCCTCAGCCTTCCGAGTAGCCGGAACTACAGGTGTGTGCTACCACGCCCAGCTAATTTTAAAAAATTTATTGTAGATACGAGGTCGCACCAAGTTGCCCGGGCTGGTCTCGAACCCGTGGGCTCAGACAATCCACTTGCCTTGGCCTCCCAAAGTGCTGGGATTACAGGCTGAGCCACCACGCTCAACCTGAGTCTCCCTTTTAATAATCCCAACTTCTTCCCCCTGCTCCCTGGTCCTAGGAGTAATGACTGTACCCTGTGATCCCCGCATCTGTGATACCTCAGTGTTCCCCCTGAGCCCTTTCCTTTTTCCACTACCAGGTAAACAGTTGCCATGGTCTCGTCTCCGGACTGGACCCTGATGGATACCTCTACTTACCCTGTTCACTAAACCGTGTGTGTACAGCTTGCCTCTCCACCTGTAAGTACCATCTGAGAAGGGACTAACACCTTCTGAGGATCCCACACGCTGCCTATTGCTTAAGTGACCAACACTTATTTATTGGTTGTCACCAAACATTTCTTACTCATCCTCTTCCTTGCAGAGAAAATGGCACATTGGGATGGGCATGGCGGCTCATGCTTGTAATCCCAGCGATTTGGGAGAATGAAGTGGGAGGAGGGCTTGAGGCCAAGAGTTCCAGATTAGCTTGGGCAATGTAGCAAGACCCTCTCCACAAAAATAAAACTTTTACAAGAGAGAAAATGGGCACCTAGTCAATTATTGTCTTCCAGAAAGAATTTCGTCCCTTAAAAACCCTGTCCTACTCCTCCCCTTGTCTCTTTCCAGCTCTCTGGTGGGCAGCCCATCTGTCCCCACCTTCTGTTTCCCAGCACTCGTTGGGTTCTTTCAGCTTCAGTAAAATGAAAGAGAAGCGAGAAGGCCCAACACCCCCTTAGACAGTTTCAGCAGGAGATGAGGACTTCGGAGGACGCCCTGCTAGGAAAGGCACAGCGACGTCATCTCCTGAGACCAGTCGGAGAATCATTGGTGACAGTGGGAACCAGGGAGTTTGCAACGATGGAAAACACAGAACAGAGTTCTCAAGGTTCAGAAGTTTGCTTCATATCTTTATTGACCAAAAAAAAGTCAAAGTCACAGCATTTCAGACTAGTCAAACACATAAACAGTAACAAAGGGCACCCACCAGCGACAGGCCTAGTCCCCAAAGTCTGGATCAAAGGCCGTGCTGGAGGGTGGGGGTGGCCTCATGCCCTCAGCATCCCCACAGCCTCCCCCTCTACACTCGACACCCCCAAGAGAAGTTACCACTTGCAGAAACTTTAGAGGAGGCTGGGCCCCACCTTGCCAGGGAAAAAGACCAGGTTCTGAGGAAGACAGAAGCAGTGCTACTTTGCTATCACTCAGCAGATGCCAGGTGCTCCTGGAACTGGCTGGCATCACTGGCGGTCTCACACCTGGGGTAGAGAAAAAGACAGGACACTTTCCCCTCGGCAATACTGGGCAGCAGAGTATGGGTCACTGGTCACACGACAGCCCCGAACCCTGTGCAGACCTTCCTGATGTGATCAGTCATACTCCCAGGAGGACAAGGCTTTCAAGAACATCAGGTTGGTTCATAAAGGGTTTGGGTAAAATACTCCTCCAGAAATCTTAAGAAACAATCAACATCAGACCCCTGGAACATTGGAACAATTGTCATTGGGTTGTGGTGAGGAGGGAAATTTGGTAAACACCAGCTGTCCAAGCAAGCAGAAAAAGCATCCACATCTACTTCCCAGAGCACTTGGCTTAGGGCTCTAGAGTCTCTTTATAGGGGCAGCTGTGCAGTTCTGAGGCATGAGGGAAACAGTGTGCACAGGAGGTGCCTACTGACGTCTGCCCTCAAGGGCTCCTGGCTGCACTCGGTGACAAAGCTGGGGTTGGGACCAGAGGCACCAGGCCTGGCCGAGAAACCTGGCCCACACTCTAGGAAAGCCAAGGGACAAGGGCCTAAACAGACACGATGGGGCACAAGGGCCCAAATGAAGGTGCTTTTCCTTCTGGTTTGTGCGATGCTGCTTATTTGACTTGGCCGAAGAGCACCTCTTCCAAAGTCCTCTCTCCTGCTCTGCTTAGCGTGGCTCTTTCTGCTGTCTCTATTTTCTCTTGACTACACTCTTTTTTTTTTTTCCTGAAAGATGTGACAGCATGGATGCCTGCAACCCTATGGAAGGGGTGGCTGCTTTGATTTCATCTAACATCTACAGCTGGCACAGGCCAGACTTCTGAGATGCTAACATGTATACTTACATGGGTGTGTGGACGTGTATATATCAGCAGAAACCCCTGTACATGTATTTCTGCTACTCTACAGAGAAATAAGGAAAATGTGAGATGCCTAGAAAAAAGTTCAGCCATCTGGGCATGGTCAGGTCACTAGTTCAAAAGACATCTGGCATAGTCTACAGTTACTTCCAGAAATTACTATTCTAGAACCACCTAGCAAGCAGTTGAATTGTGGAGCACAGAGAATCTCACCTCTGAAGGGCCCCAGGAGTGCCTGAATTGCGGCAGCTTTTACAGACACAGTAGTTCCTAGAAGCAGCTTCTCCTTCCCCACACCATTTGCCACACTATTGAAAGTGATCAAGGGCAAGTAGGATCTTCTGGCTCCTCTGCATTCTGCTGACTGACATTCAAAAGCTCAGGGAGAAAGTGTGGACAAAAGCTCTGTAGTCACAGCCCAAAGGAGGGCTCTGTGGCACACCCTAGATCCCGGCCAATATGGCATTCCATAGAAGGATGCGATGGGGGGGGGGTCAGAGACACAGGAAGTCCCCAGACTACTGGTCAGTGTGAAGTCACTGACACTGCTGTGGGGCAGGTGTGCCAAGGCTAGAAACCAAGAAGAGACACAAATATTGCACAGTCAAGGCATTTCCAAGAGACAGCACAGAAATGACAATTCTTTTAGATACAACAATATGACACATTTGGCAACTTTCAAAGAAACAGCTTTCCCATCCTAAGCCATAAGAGGGTCTGCAAGGTCCTTCCATCTTTGGTCCAGTTTAAAAAGCCAGGGAAGGAAGACGGGGTCAAAGGGAGGTGGGGTGCGTAAGAAAAGGTTGCATATGCAGTTATACCCACTACCCTAAAGCTCCTGTTTGCTGGATTCAGTGCAGGATGCTGCCTGTCTCCATCATCTCCTGGGGAGAAAGCAAGCTCTCCGGGGGGTTACTGGCTACTGGAGACAGCGGAGGCAAAGCTGCATGTGGTGACAGCTAGGTGCCCCGAATCCAGAACAGTGATCCCCACCTGCAAACGACACCCCATTCTCCCTTTCCTCACAGAGGCACTGTTCATAGGAATGCAGGGTACTCTGGCAACTCTAAGCCTTATCCAAAACCTCAACTTGACAAGCTGCAGCTTGAACCCTTTGCATCTGCTGCAGGATTTTGAGGGTGCATAGAAGGAGGGAAAGACTGTTCCAAAGCGGCTGTTAACGTCCAACACGGCGCACTTTGGGGTGAACCATGGCACAGCTCAGGGACAATCTTCTTTCCTTTGCTCTAGCTTCCTTAAAGTACAGGCCATTTCCAAAAAGCCAGGCCTTCCTCCCTCTTCCCCTAGATCCCCAAAAGGCTCCAAATGGGAACCCAGCTCAGTTGCTATTGTAAAGATCTGTTACAATACTGGCTAAGAAAACAAAAGCAGGTTTCTGAAAGGGTATTCTGCAGCCAGAAGTGGCATCTGTCTTCAGAGTCCTGCGGGTGGGGAAGGAGGTTCCTTTGGCTTTGACCAGAACGCATCTCCACAGGGGCCGAGCTCAGCTCTGCTTTGCAGTTGCTCAGATACTGTACAGGAGCGAGATATAACTTCACAGAGGTGCTCTGCATGATTGCTCTCTTGGTGTTCAGGATTCTGGAGTTTCCGATTCTTAGTTTACATCCGCGATCCTCTCTCCTGAAGAATCTGAAAGTGGGAGATGGGGGAGAAGACTGAGGCTGCTGACTGTTGAGGGAAAAGACACTCTCACGGCTGCTTTCCACTGGACTCAGCACACAGCAGGACAATCCTGGTGTTCCAGGAAGCAAGGCAGGAGTATAGCCTCAATCTCACCCAATGCACTTCAGCTGTGAAACTCTCTCTTGCCGAACACAGTTGGCCTAAAGTTTATGTGCTGTTGAACCAAAATCTTCCCACTCCGAGGGAAATGGTTCAAGCTCAGCGCAGGACGGCGATTTACGTGTGTGTGCTTGAGGGGAAGTCACAGTGGAGGAAAAGAAGCAAACGGTGTAAAACAATGTTTCCAGGAACTTAAGGGAGGGGAAAAGTCACAAAGGTAAGAAAATACCTTTTCTCTTGAGGCAGTGAAAAAAGAACAACAGTTTTAAAGAACAAAGACTTTCCAATTTGAAGTTCGGCATTCTCACCCTGAAATTGATAGCAATAAGCTTTTCTTCTTTTTTACTGATTGGGCAGAGGGTGGACCTATAGAACCCTTTTCAGGTTCATACTTCCTAACTACAAACTCCTGTCACTGCTCCATAAACCCTAATTTAAATGGCAAGAGTCAAAAGAACAAAACAAAGGGAAAAATGCAAAGCTGGCTCTAGAAGGAGAAGGAAGTGAGGAGGAGCAATGGTTCAGGCAGAGCCCACAGAGGGACTGGGAACAAGTCCGTCAAGTGATTTCTTTTTTCTTTTTTGTTCAGGGGAAAGCGCAAACAGTCCCTAACTACCACAAAGTATGCAGTGGAGTGTCCCACATTTGGGGACGTCACAGGCGTGCGCACATCCAGAGTGTTATGGATGCATCTCATCCTGGGAAAATCACCTTTGTGATCATGGTATCTCCTCTGCCAGGTAAGTATGAAGTGATTCTTACCTTTGCCTTTTCACTCGGTTCTATGACAATGCCATTGGTAGAATTATTTAGTTCTCTGGAGACAACACAGAGGAACTCCGCCTGATCCTCATTTCCATAGTTATAGGAAGATCCAATGCTAATTAGCTGATGAAACAAGAATATGGTGAATAATCAGTGACCTTAAAGCGCTAGTAGTCAACACCCTCCTCCTGACTGACCTTTGTCGTCTTACTTCAAAGATCGAAGAATTCTCTGCGGCTCCTGGGGCTAAATGTGTCTGTTATTTATCAGGGCGTCATCAACAAGGCTGTCCCGAAAATACAAGTATGAGCTCCCTTACTGTCCCCTCACTCAAGCTCTCCAAGTCACCCCAAAGGCAACGGTAGGATTGACATGATCCCTTTCCCTTGATCACACACCGAGGGGAAACGGAATGCTTCTGTGAATCAAAATGGACGTTTGCTTCAGTCAAGAACTGGCTCATCTCTAAGCAGAAGTCCTGGACAGGAGACTGGTACTCAGAAGGACCTGGAAAGCAGCAAGTGAATCACTGAATAGCTGCTGAAAGCTCTATGCTGCTGGTACTTTGACTCTTTCTTGGAAAACTGAATTCAGTGTTTAATTCTAAGTAGGAAACACACATGCAAGGGAGCATCTGAGCCAAAGCGTGAGGTCATTCTGGCAAGCAGGCAAGGCCTCATGTGGGCGACCACAACCGACCTGCTCTAAGACTAGGCTGGGCCCCTCAGCCTGCCGGTGCCTAACTTCCTCATGCACATAATGAAGGCACCAGCCTGGGCAACACAGCCAGACACTGTGGCTACCAAAAAAAAAAGTTAGCTGGGTACAGTGGTGTGAACCTGTAGTCCCACCTACTCCAGAGGCTGAGACAGGAGGATCGCTTAAGCCCAGGAATTTGAGGCTGTAGGGAGCTGTACCACCACACTTCAGTCTAAGCAACAGAGTGACACCCTGTCTCTCTCTTTTTTTCTTTTTTGAGTTGGAGTCTCGTCACTCACAGCCACCGCAACCTTCACCTGCTGGGCTTAGGCAATCCTTCCACCTCAGCCTTCCAAGCAGCTGAAACTACAGACGCATGCCACCATGCCCGGCTAGTTTTTGTGATTTATTGTAGAGATGAGGTCTCACCAAATTGCCCAGGCTGGTCTTGAACCCCTGTGCTTAGGCAATTCTCTCACCTTGGCCTCCCAAAGTGCTGGGATTACAGACTGAGC